TTGGTCTAACCGTTTAGTTCAGTTGGTAGGACACTTACTTCTAGTATACTAGTGGTCTAACCGTTTAGTTCAGTTGGTAGGACACTTATATCTAGTATACTAGTGGTCTAACCTCCAAAGCCTCAGTATGGTCGGGGGTGGGCGTCCTGGAAAACGAGTAAAGTCGTCCCTGGCGCTCCATGAAATGCTCCCAAAAGACCTGCTTGTTAAGCCTCTACTGTGGAAGCCCTATTCACTGCCTTCTCGTGGCGGAGGTGTTTTTAGTGAAGTGAAAGGGCGTAAGCGGGTGACCCGCGCTATAACGGGTTCGGTGGTTCATTGATCACCTAGGGGAGCTGGCTAAACCCTGATTTCAAGCCAACAACGGCGGATTGAGCGGATGAGATCAACACGACCCAACGGTCATGATGGCGGTACTAACTGCTGCATCTGGGCAGATGGGGCTCAACAGCCTTGGAAGGCAGCTCCATCTAGGGGAAGGAAAACCCTGACTTCCAACCCCCGCTGCCTTGCGGATGCATCTGACCATGGAAGGCTTCAGGAGAAAACATCGAGGGAAAATCCGGAGTCGGAGCCCCGAAGGCAGTTCGACGTTGATTCCAACCCCGTTCTGACAGCTCCTGCGACCGCGTTGACATCAAACTGTATCAGCACTGCTGTTACTTTGGCTCCGGCATCGCGGTGGAGTGGGGGGGGGGGCAAGTTGCGTGGGCAACAGCCTGTCCCCCATATCAGAATGCCCAGGCTTACATCCGTCCATATCAAACAATGGACGGATGCTCATCCATGGTCAAACCTGGCCGAAGGAGACCTACTACTACTAGTGGTCTAACTAAACGGTTAGACCACTAGTATACTAGAAGTAACCGTTTAGTTCAGTTGGTAGGACACTTACTTCTAGTATACTAGTGGTCTAACCGTTTAGTTCAGTTGGTAGGACACTTACTTCTAGTATACACACGTACATTTCTCGGAATTTAAGAAATTCTGTTATCATTAGCTTCACATCTGCAACACATTTCAGATCTATTAATACACTTTAACATTTGTAATGTAAAACCCTCGTTTCTTATAATAGCACGTGACGAATGAAAGGTTCTTTTTTTCTACTCTACAGCGGGAAGTTCCCAAATAAATTGTTTGGAAAAGCTTTCCATATTCATGCAAAAAACAAACAAACAATCATTT